TTTTTTTTTTCTTTTTTTTTCTTTTTTTGCTATTGAATTATAGGAGTTCTGTATGGATTTTGGATATTAACCCCTATCAGATACAGGGTTTGCCAGTATTTTGCCCATTTTGTAGGTTGTCTTTTCATTTTATTGATGATTTCTTTAGCCATTCTATAATTTCCAAAACATCACATCAAAGAACTCACTTCCTATGTTTTCCTCTAGGAGTTTCATTTAGGTCTTATACTTAAATGAAAATCTTTACTCCATTTTGAAAAGTTAATTGTTTTTTAATTTTTTAATTTATTTTTGAGAGAGAGCGAGCGAGCAGTTGGGGGAGGAGCAGAGAGAAGGAAACACAAGATTTGAAGCAGGCTTCAGGCTCTGAGCTGTCAGCACAGAGCCTGACAGGGGGCTCAAACTCACGAACCATGAGATCATGACCTGAGCCTAAGTTGGAAGCTTAACCAACTGAGTCCCCTGGCGCCCCTTGAATCAGTTTTTGAGTGGTGTAACACAGGAGTCCAGTTTCATTCTTTTCCATGTTAATACCCAGTGATCCCAGCACTATTGGAAGAGACTTGCCTTCTCCATTGAGTATTCTTGGCTCCCTTGGCAAATTTTAGTTGAGTGTTTATGCTTGGGTTTGTTTCTGGGCTCAGGATTCTGTTCTTTTGATCTGTTTGTCTATTTTTATGGCGATAATGTTTTGAAGACTGTAGCTTGAAATCAAAGTGTGATGCCTCTTGCTTTTTGTTCATCTTTCCAGGATTTCTTTGGCTATTCAAGAGTCTTCTGTGGGTCTATATAAATTTTAGGAGTGTTTTCTCTATTTTTGTAAAATATTCTATTGAAATTTCTATAGGGATTATGCTCAATTTATAGATGGCTTTTGGTAGTATTGGTATTTTAACAATACTGATTCTTCCAATCAGTGAACATGGAATATTTTTCCATTTATTTGTGTCTTCTTCTATTTCTTGTATCAGTGTCTTAGAGTTTTCAGAGTAGAGATCTTTCATCTCCTTGGTTAGATTTATTCCTAATGACTTAATTGGTTTTGATGCTGTTGTAAGTGGGATCAATTTCTGTTTCAGAAAATTTATTATTACAGTATCAGTTTTCTTAATGGTAAAACAGAGATAACCAAAGCTAACTCCCAGTATTTTTGTAAGGATTAAATGACCTATGATTGTTTACCATAATTTTTTTTTATTTCTTTTTTAATGTTTATTTTTGAGGGGGTGGGGGAAGGGCAGAGAGAGAGGGAGACACAGAATCTGAACCAGGCTCCAGGCTCTGAGTTGTCAGCACAGAGCCCAACGTGGGGCTCAAACTCATGAGCCATGAGAGCATGACCTGAGCTGAGGTTGGACCCTTAACTGAGCCACCTGGGGAGCCCCTGTTTACCATAATTTTGCTTCACGTAAGGTAAATGTTCTTTAGTAGTAACCACTAATATCACTGTTATCCGTCAAGTGGGTTGAATGTCGTTTACCTTAATCATCCCCTGCTATTGCACAGTGGGGCTATAAACTTCATACTGGAGAGAGATGATACAAAGCTAAGCTAATGATGGCCTAGTCAACAGCAGTAGGCATCAACTTGGTGTGATACACCCCTTGGTGAGTCTAGATTTCCTTCAGGACTTGAGCTGCTTGCAGTGCTGTTTCTTAGCGGACCCTACACAGGCCAGGATGCGCCACCTCTGTCGTACAAGGAGTCCATGGCGGAGGCTGTGTGCACCTTGGACACCCCTGCCCCACCTGGAGCTGGCTGTCCACCTTGGGAAAGCTGACTAAGGTTATGAAAGATCTTTCGGTTGAATGGAAAAATGACCTTTTTAAAAATTTATATGAAAAATCAGGATTGTAATGTGTAAAGAGCTATGGATTACATGATTGGTTCCAAGAACATTCTCGAGGGGTTTTATTGTTTGTTTGACAAATACTTAGGTTTTGCTCAGTCCTTTTGAAAGGAGTGTAAAATGTCAGGCCGAGACAGATGTATAAAGTAGAAAATGGAGACGTGCTGCATTCTCATCAACAAGCACAATATGGTTTTTTCCAGTCTTTATTACTTCAAAATCCTTCATCTGATATTTAAAATGTATTTATGTTGAGTCATTTCTCTCTCTCTTGCTGGTGAACCAAAGATCATGAAATGATTCTGCAGAGGTAGTAGCATTACGTTCAGTTTCTTTTTTTGTATATATCAGATAAGAGGCTTGCAAATGGAAGTAAGTCCGCCTCACATCCTCTGTATGGTCATGGCCATGATGTTTGCCTTTTTGTCACTGATGCAACATTTATTAGTTCAAAAAACCTTTTCCAAAGAACCTGAGGGCTTTTTGGTGAAAGGTGACTATAGTAAGAACAAAGTTATTAACAGTCTACTTTTCTTTCTACAAACATTGCTTTGCCTCTTTTTAGTATTTAGAAAGTACTAGTTTTGTTTTTTTTTTTTTAATTTTTTTTTTTTTTCAACGTTTATTTATTTTTGGGACAGAGAGAGACAGAGCATGAACGGGGGAGGGGCAGAGAGAGAGGGAGACACAGAATCGGAAACAGGCTCCAGGCTCTGAGGAGCCTGACGTGGGGCTCGAACTCACGGACCGCGAGATCGTGACCTGGCTGAAGTCGGACACTTAACCGACTGCGCCACCCAGGCGCCCCTAGAAAGTACTAGTTTTTTAAGTGTTGTGGGGTGGGGGTGGGGAGCCTGACAGGCCAAATGGAAATGAATGCACATATTTGGAGTTAGAATTTCTTAATCCTCAACTAGGAAGGGAAAATAAAAGTTTTGAGGTTCACCTCAGTTTAAGCCTCTAAGTCGCTCTCTCTGAACCATACTTTCTGGTTGGTAAAATTCTCACAGATCTGAGGCATTAAAGCACCTTAAGAGGCTCACTTTCTGCAAAACCTGAAAAGTAACAGAAGAGAAAAACGGCAGCAGTTCCAGACTTGCGTATATGTCCCCAAAGACTAGGGGACCCCTGTACAACTCGCCTGCTGTCTTTAACTCCCTGCCATCCATTTAGTCAGCAGGTCTTCCTGTAACTGGTAGGCTACAGTGGCTATAATCCTTCCAGTAAGCCCAAGAAAAAGTCTACCAAAATTTCTGAAATTTTCAGAGAATGTCAATATTTGAGAGTATTTGTCCTGTCAGAGAGAGTGAAAATGGAAAAAGGTAAGGACTCTGGAGCACTGGGCACATCCCTGGCTGTATTCATTTGTAACTAAGCAGCAGTGTTTTTGTTCTGTTTATTTTTTCTCGCTCTTACTGTATTCTCCTTTTATCATTGGAAGTAATTCGTTATTTCAGGAGATTATTATGATACTTATGGTATATACATTATGTATTCATATACTTTTAATATATACTATTACATGTAATTAGTGTTATCATTATACTATTTTTCCTTTTAAGTATCAGTGGCTTCTTTTTCTAGAGCAATCATGAAATTTCACAGTATGAAAATGGAAGAAATCAACAAAATTATTCGTGACCTTTGGCGAAGTACCTATCGTGGACAAGGTAATTTACATGGTTTATCACGGATCTTTTCCAAAGCCCCGTCCCTGGCTTTTTGCACATATTATCTCTCATCATGCCAGTATTACCTCCTGGACCCCTTTGTGAACATCTCTTAAGAGATTTTCTAAGAATTCTTATCTTGACAATATCTTGTAACAAGGAAAGAAAATGCAGTTTTCTATTCCAAACCCTGACGAGACTTACATATTTGGCTATGGTACATATTATATTTAACTGATGACCTAATAGATTCTGTTGAAGTGTAGATAGGGATAAGCTGAAATGTGATAAGAAGAAAACCAGCAGGAGGAAATTCTTTTAATAGGGGAACTAAGCAAGGCAGAGCAGAGACTGAGGGTTGAGACATCTGGGTTGCTTCTTCCTCATGAACCCTCTCAGCCACTTTTAATGGTAATGTCACGTTGCTTCTTAGGCTTACTTGATATTTGCAGATGACAAAAGGCTACAGAATATAGGTTGCTCTGAAATCTTCTTTTTGTGTCAGATATTGAATACATAGAAATTCGGTCTGATGCCGATGAAAATGTATCAGCCTCTGATAAAAGGCGGAATTATAACTACCGAGTGGTGATGCTGAAGGGAGACACAGCCTTGGATATGCGAGGACGATGCAGTGCTGGACAGAAGGCAGGTATCAAGCCCCTAGGAAGCCCACAGATAACTGACAGAAACTAGTGTCTGTGCAGTGAAAGCACCCAGAGCTGCTGGAGAATATGGTGAGAAGACCCTCACAGCACTCCTTGTTGCCACATAAAGTTAGCCAGACTCAGCTACCCATTACCCTCTTCCAGTTTTAACGAGCATTTCCTGCAACATTAGATAATCTTTCAGGAGAAGGGTCTGAGAAGTCCTCACGTGATCAGCCTAACGGAGAACCATTCATTGCTTCATAACTCTCCTTATGAGAATAAAGTTACTTGTGTTATCAATTGTAAGACATACCTCTGTTTTATGTGCCACCAAGAAAGAAAGAATGCAGTTTTAACTGCAAGAATGCATCCTGATTTCAGAGCAGTCAGAAGTGGAGGAGGGGCGTTCACCAAACCACATCCCAGGTTGAGCCACATGAGGCATTAAAATAACTAAGTCTCATTGAAAAGCAGCCCCATCACAGGACTGCGTCCCTGCTCCCACCTAGCCTTTGGACCTGCAGACCCTCTAAAAGAAGGGTTCTTGCCAGGAGCACCTGGCTGGCTCAGTCAGAAAAGCATCTGACTTTTGATCTTGGGGTTTGAGCCCCATGTTGGATGTAGAGATTACTTTAGAACAATGTTAAGAGAAGCGTCTGTTAGACCAGAGGCCTTGACACCCAGAGCTGCCCCTGCATCCCTTCTCCCCGCACTGCCTAGACTCAGCTGCTGGGTCAGGCCATCTGGCTCTAGATGAGGCTCTGAGAGGACAGCCTGTGTTGTTGGATAGGGAGCACAGAGCAAATCAGAGGAATAAAGCTTTAAGGAATCAGGAAAATTGGACCTTCATCCTTGGGGAACAAGGCTGGGTCCTTTCACTGCACATAGGTTTATAACCAAGATGTCATGGATGCTTGAGCTTACTCTTTTTAGATTAGAAGCAGATTATATGGGATAAAAATTCCAGACCCCTGATTTTCTTTAAAAAATCTTAAAATTCTAGAAAAGGGTGCTCACATTATATAAAGTATTTTCATAAATAGTTTTCTATTTTTGCTTGAAGACAATCCTGTGTATATGTATTTTTTGTCAGCCCAGCTGATACCAATTTAAGGCATATGCAGATTATTATCTTAATCATAGTCTGCAAAAATGACAACTTTGTGATCTATAACCAGTATTCCTACTTGCTTTGGTGGTTTTCAGTGGTTATTATGAATAAGAAAATACAGAGTTTGTAACATGTCCCTTTGTATTGAAAATGCTTTGAAAATTATTTTCTAAACAAAGTAGATTTCCTATAGATACTCTAACTTATAAAAATTAGCAGTAATTGCTTCCTTGGTGTTGGGTTGGGGGAGAAGACAAAAACTTTGGTAAAGGTTGGCCAGGAACATCATTTAGACTCTTAATATGTAGGGTTGCAGGTGGGGGCTGTATTAGCGTTCAAATACAGGAAGGAAGTGTCTTCCCCAAAGGGCCAAGCTATGATCCTGGCTTCTGCAGTCTTCTAGCCTTCCCTGGACATCAAAGAGAAGCTGTAAAATGATCTGAAATCACAACTCACTCACTGATGCTCCTTTATTCATAGATTCAAGGGGAGGGGATATGGACAGCTCATGCAAAAGTAGTGGATACTCTGTTATTCTTAATTCTGTGTCCTTTGTGCCCTCAGATGGCTTCAGCTGGGGCTGAGGGTTTTAGTATTAGGTTTCTACTAACTGGGAAAGTGCCTCAGTTTCAGTTCCTTGGATGTCCTATAGTTTAGCTTAAATAAAACCGTACTTCTGTACTCCTGATACACTGACCCGGGAATATTCTTTCTGTCTTGGTTCCCTCAGAATTATAAACACAGACATTTAAGTGTAGGTTAGAACACAATACCTGATGCCCCTCTGGGACCCCAGAACATACAGATTTAAAAGTAACTCGGAAAAAGAGTGGGTGAGAGGTTGTTAATCTTATAGTGTTAACTCAAATGATTAGTTACAGATAAACTAATGCAGATGACAGGCTGAGATACAACATACCTGATGGTTCACTTTCTGGAAGGGTTTAAGAGTCTGGTCACAGGGCCAGGCTCTCCCAAGTAAAAGAGCAACAATTCACCTAAAGTCACTGTCCCGATGACATTGCTCCCTTCCCTCATGAAGACATTGGGCCAGGTGTGCATGCTTTCCTAATGTGAATGAGAAAGAGGTCTGTGTGGTACAGCTCAGCTCTGGTGCTTTCTTCCAGGTATTAGCCTCACTCATCATTCGTCTGGCCCTGGCTGAAACATTCTGCTTGAACTGTGGCATCCTTGCCCTGGATGAGCCAACAACAAATCTTGACAGAGAAAATATTGAATCTCTTGCACATGCTCTCGTTGAGTAAGTATCTCAAATTTGGGGGCAGGCTATGATAGTAATATATATTACACTTATAAAGTAACGTAGAGTTCTGTGGTGAAAACCTCTGCATGTGTCTTCCTTGGGAAAGCTAGTTGGTGTCAGACGTTAGGCTTTACCTTTGATAGTAATTCTTCAGATGCTTAAAAAGAACTAGGCGGTGAACAGCAGCCCCAGACACATCCTGCAATCTCCCCAGGTATGCTGAAGGGTTTCCTGGCTTGGTTTGCTTTCTCTGTAAACCCACCAGAGGTGCCCACAGGTCATGTAGAGGAGTTAGCATGCCCTGCTTAAAACATTTCTAGATGCTAATAGTGGATTTTAGCCCATCTCCCCAGTTTTATGAGGAATGACAGCTCCTATTCAAAAAGTATAATAGTGGTTATGTAGAATCTAGAAAGTAAAATTGCACACAGCTTTTGCCACATTCAAGTGTGGTGGGTGCAGACCCCAGGAATGGGCAGCCCCTCCTGTGCTGGCAGAGGAAACCCACTTTTCCCAAACTAAAGAAGCTATTTTGGGTACTCTGGCTCAAGATAGATTCTTTCTGGCAGAGACACTAGCAGGAATGGGGCACCTTTCTCAGCCACCTCTCAGTCGTCCTGCATGACCAGCACATAAGGGCTAATACTTTTCAAAGCTCAGTGCATTCAGCCACGGGTAAGCGATAAACAAATGGTTAGTTAAAAAGTCTGATTTCAGTCTCATAGCTAGTTACCTCAGCATATAATGAGCAAAAATGTTCCCAGTACACCCACTCAGGCCTCTTGTGTGTCATACTAATGATGCATCTAGTGACTGGTGGTGGCAGAATTCTAAGTAGACCCAGCTCCTAAGAAGGCAGCTGGGCTTGCATATGTAATTTCCCTTGCCTGTAGTTGGTTTTTTTTTTTTTTTTCTTCCAGAGATAATTAGTAACAGGTCAGGAAAACCCCAGACAAAGGAATAAGTAAGACTCCTAAAGTTGAGCAGCTCAGATATTAAGGAAAATTTAGTAAAACATTTCTGCCTGTTTTAATAAGAACAACTTTGTGTTCTGGAAGAAACTAGATCATGTATTTTCATCAGTCCCTGAGTCAGACCTAGAGGAAGAGTCACTCCATCACCCTCACTGTCTGGATCAGACATGGGACTCCTACCTGGCTGGGCTGAAGGTCTGGGTCCAGCTCCCCCTCTCCAGTTTCCTCCAGGGTTGTCCTGTGTCTGACAAGGTTCTCAGTGTCTTTTTCATATAAAGGAGAGGATTATTTATGCTCTTCAGTAATAAAAGGTTCTCAATATATTGTTTCAGGATAATAAAGAGTCGCTCGCAGCAGCGTAACTTCCAGCTTCTGGTAATCACTCACGATGAGGATTTTGTGGAGCTCTTAGGGCGTTCTAAATATGTGGAGAAATTCTACAGGATTAAGAAGAACATTGATCAGTGCTCAGAGATTGTGACATGTAGTGTTAGCTCTCTAGGTTCTTATGTTCATTAAAAATAGTCAAGATTTTGGGGCGCCTGGGTGGCTTAGTCTGCTAAGTGTCCGACTTCAGCTCAGGTCATGATCTCAACAGTTCGTGAGTTCGAGCCCCAAGTCGGGCTCTGTGCCGACAGCTCAGAGCCTGGAGCCTGCTTCTGATTCTGTGTCTCCCTCTCTGTCTCTCTGCCCCTCCCCGACTCATCCTCACTCACACTCTCTCGCTCTCAAAAATAGAAACATTAAAATTTTTAGTCAAGATTTTGCCTTAGAAGCAAGTCCTCAGGCAGCTGTTTATTTCTGGTTTCAACTAAGTCAGTGCAAAAATCTGTCCTTTCAGAGGAGCTTTGTGTCTAGGATTTTGAATGTCTGAGAGGTTCTACCATCATTAAAATTGTTTCTCATGACATTTGGACTGATTTCCTGAACTTCATCCTCCTCCAGGCAGCCTCTGTCAAGCCTGGGGGTTCAGTAGCAGCACAGTTGGACTCAGCTACTCTGTTTCCCTTCCCAGCACAAATGAATGATTCCTGGTACTACCAGAAGCTGTTACCTTTCACTTCAAAGCACTGTTAAGAAGTAGGTTTTCGGGGCGCCTGGGTGGCGCAGTCGGTTGAGCGTCCGACTTCAGCCAGGTCACGATCTCACGGTCCGTGAGTTCGAGCCCCGCGTCGGGCTCTGGGCTGATGGCTCAGAGCCTGGAGCCTGTTTCCGATTCTGTGTCTCCCTCTCTCTCTGCCCCTCCCCCGTTCATGCTCTGTCTCTCTCTGTCCCAAAAATAAATAAATGTTGAAAAAAAAATTAAAAAAAAAAAAAAAAAGGTTTTCACTGCCTTGATAATTAATGATTTGGGCATTTAAAAAAAGTGTTGGGGCACCTGGGTGGCTTAGTTGGTTAAGTGTCCGACTTCGGCTCAGGTTATCATCTCTTGGTTGGTGAGTTCGAACCCCCCATCAGACACGCTGCTATCAGCGCAGAGCCTGCTTCAGATCCTCTATCCCCCTCTCTCCCTCCCCCTCCCCTACTCTCTCTCAAAAATAAACGTTTAAAAAAAAAGTGTTACCTTTTAATTTCTTTGGATATGATTTTTAAAACCTGAGTTATTAGTGAGCACTAATATCTGAAGATGACTGGAAATCATGAGGTTTTAATATTTGGCTCTGCTCCATTTTATAAATACCAGAAGTAACCTTCCTCACTGGGACTCAGTTTCCCAAAGTAAAATTAGTAGTAGTCCTATGGGGCATCAGGGTTTGAAAGGAACCTTAAGTAATCATGTAATTGAAACTCACCATCTTCCCCCCACCCCATACCCCTGCCAGGTAGTCACCCAAACTTGGGGTTCTCTCTAGACAGAGAAAGTTCTCCACTGTGCACATCCACCTTTGGAAAGCTCTGATCAATAGCAGGATTCCCTTTGCTTGAGGCATGATCTGCCATCATGAAGAAGTCTGGGGCTTTCCATATATCCTATGTACATCTCTGCCTCACCATCAATCTTGATGGTTCACCAAGTGCATTCCAGCGTGGAAGGCAAGCAAGGCTCACTCATGGAGTCATAGCCTTCTCCCAGTGGGCTCTGACCAGACCTGGAAAAGCAGGCCTCATCCTCATTCCAGATCTTATTTCCATTAAAGGTCCAATCACACCTTTTCCCTGGAATTGCCAGCTGACACCAGAAAGCTTTCCCCAAGCATTACACACTGAATGCTACCAAGCCACACACTTTTGAGTTAGACTTTTTGGAGTTGACTTTTTCAGAGAGTCTTGTCAGTCATGTGGCATGGTTTTGTCCCATCTGCAAATCTAATGAGTATATGGTATAGATAGCCCTTCTTAACCACAGTATAGAGAGAATTAAGCCCTAAGGACCTAAGGTATCTGCAATAGGCAGAATAAAGACCTCCAAAGATACCAAATCCTAATCCCTAGAACCTCTGAATGTTACCTCATTTGGCTAAGGGACTTGACAGATGTGATTAAAGATAAGGATCTTGACAAGGGGAGATTATCCGGGTGGGCGGTAAATGTAATTACAAGTGTCCTAAGGAAGCAGAGAGCAAGATCATGCAACCAGCAAAGGCAGCATGTGGATGGATGCATAGACAAGTTCTGTGCTGTGAAGGTAGAGGAAGGGCTGTAAGCCAAGGAATTCAAGCTACCAGGAATGGCCGAAAAAAGCAAAGGAATGCTCTCCCTTCAGAGCCTCCAAAAAGGAATCAGCTGACACCTTGATTTAATGAGCCCTGATTGGGGCTTTTGACCTCCAGAACTGTAGAAGAGAATAGATTTTTGGTGTTTTAAGCTACTTAGTGTGAGCTCATTTGCTACAGCAACAGTAGGAAACTCCTACGGTATCCATCGTAATCCATTTCTGTGCACCTCAAGTGACCTTACAGTTGACCCTTGAACAACATGGGTTTGAACTGCATGGGTCCACTTACATGTGGGGTTTTTGCCACCAACAGTACAGTATCGTAAATGTATTCCCTTTTTCTTACGAGTTTCTTGGTATTTTCTTTCCTCTAGCTTACTTTGCTTTATGAATAGTGTATATAATATACAAACAGAATACGTGTTTATCAGCTGTTTATGTCATCAGTAACACTTCCAGTCAGCATTATAGTATCAGTAGCTAAGTTTTGGGGTAGTCAAAAGTTACACAAAGGTGTTTGCGCTGAGGGGTTGGCTCCCCTAACTCCTGCGTTCATTTTTCAAAGGTCAACTGTAGTTACATATGATCTTTTGGGAGAACGGAAAAAAGTGTTACTCAAATCATTTTGTGTTCTGTTATTTACATGAAGAACCCTGGGTGAGAAAGTCTGGTCCAGACACTCTCCTAATGCCTGGATCATAGGGCCAAGGAACACAGCCACCACTCCAGCCAACTGCTTCCTGTCCACTGACTGAGAAGTTTCAGTCATCCTAATTGGCTTGGAAAAACTAAAATTACCTATTTACCACACTAGCATGAGCTCCACAAAGGTACCATGGGGAAAAACTGACCAGTTTCAGAACAAAGATCCAGGAACTTGTAAATTAATACAAGCACTTCATTTCCAGACATATATTAAACATACACAATAACCAAGATTTTTTTATCCCAAGAATGCAAGAGTATTTCAAAAAGTCATAAATCTGTTCATAAATCATCACCATAATAAAGCCAAAGGTTAAAAATTCTGCTAGACACCAAACATGGACCATTTTTTTTATATATACAATTCAACATCTCTTAGCTTTAGCCAAACTCCTAAAACTACCATCTTCTTAATGGTATTTGTGTCACCAAGTCAAAATTAAAGTCATCTTAATAGCAAAAGATGAAGCATTTCTCATTAAATAAAAAAGTGTTATCTTCTATCAAAAGGTTTCTGAAAGCACTAGCCACTACAACATGGAATGACAATAAAGGCCATACAGGATAAATGCGGGCAAGGAAGCAAAGTTATTTACAAATTACAGATATCCCATCTCAGCTCCCTACTCCCTGAGGTCCGTGGAGCTTCCCCAGCCGCCCTTCTGACAGTGGCCGTTTTCACATTCCCCTTGTAACCATGGAGGTGGGATAGGTGCCCTTCCTACTTCTCACTGGTGCTTCTCGATCATTATCCATTAAACACCCACCCCCCTCCTCCACACATGGGATGAGTAGACATCCCAGTGTCAAGATGAAGAATAGGAGCCAGTGTCCCAAGCACCACCGATCACTAGTTCTGGGACCTTGGGCAAGTTAGTTATTCTCTTTTAGCTCTGATTCCTTATCTTTAAAGTAGGTAAGACACCACCTCTATTGGGGAGTTAAGAGAATTAAATGCCTAGAACTGCTTACTGCTTAGAACTGCTTAGAATTGCCTGGCACACAAGTAAGTACAGTAAAACCTTGGAATGCAACTAACTTGTTCTGCAAGTGTTCCACAAGAGAAGCAAACGTTTCCAATAAATTCTAACTTGATAGATGAGCAATGTCTTGCAGTACGAGTAGTACATGATGCCAAACGTCACAACTGAGTAAATGGTTCTCTCATCTGCAGGACTGTGGGTGATCGTCTCCCATCCTCAAATGCTTGGTCTCAGGCCGTGGTGTTTGGCAGAAATCGTTGATTTTTCAGTATGTTGGAAGGTGCCAACAACTAGCTGAGTGTATTTTTTATCACTTCAAAGCATCTCTGGACAGTCCTTTGCTTTTCCATACAAGAGTAAGCTTAGGAATGCTTTGCTTCGTTCTAGGGTAGGCTGCCTGCAGACATAGACCCTTTCCTCTGTTGCCTTATTGGCAGTCACATGAAGTACAGTACATGACAAGAGTTTATTAATACTGTACTGTATTCACTACTGTAGTCAATATCCATGCGAGTGTATACAATGGACCCCATGCAGAAAAAGGGTGAAAAGAAAAGCAGTAAGAAGGAGATGATTACAGTGGAAGAAGGATATCCTAAAGAAGTAAAAATGAGGTATGTGAGTGGCTGAAATGACAAGATTTTATAAAAACCCTACATCTGTGTCTGGTCTGCAGAGGAGGAGGAGTAAAAGAAGAATCCCTCAATTTGAATGAGATTAGTGAGATGTGTAAAAGGTGGGAAGCAGTGCAACATTTTGTAGAAAAGCACCACCCAATGAAGCGTACGAGCTACGAATCTGTTTCACGACAATGCAATGTCACATTTCCGCAAAATCCTCAAAAGGAGGCAAAAGCAAATGTCATTGGATAGGTTCCTTGTTAAAGCACAAAAAGAAAAAGATTCCATTGAGCCAATAGATAGCAGTGATTCCATTAATGATAGTGAAATTCGTCCTACACAGTAACCCTCCTCTCTCTTGTCTCCCCCACACCAGCCGTTCCAGCTCGGGTTAGCGAGTGGCTTGCCATGTGCACCTTCCACTGAGCTGCCTTTCATGGTTTAAAAACAAAAAGTAGGAAGGAAAAGCCTTTTGACAAGATACAGGTAACAGCCACAGACAGAAGTAGGCTGGAGCACATGCAAAGTTCTTACAACAGAGGCAGGGCACTGACA